GGGGGGGTCGGCTGCGGGGCCGGCTCTGAGGGACTCGGGGAACGGCTGCCGGGTCGGTTCTAAAAGGCCGGCTGTGGGGGGGACCGGGGAGCGGCTCTGAGGGGATGGGGGACGGCTGAGAGCGGCTTTGAGGGGTCGGCTCTGAAGGGCCGGCTCCGAGGGGCCTAAGGAGGGCTCTGGGGGTCGGGAGAGCGGCTGTGAGGGGCCGGCGGCAGCAGCCGTGGGGCCGGTTCTGAAAGGCCGGCTCCGAGGGGTCGGGGAACCGCTCTGAGAGGCCGGGAGCGGCTGCAGGAGGAGCTCCGGGAGACCGGGGAACCGCTCTGGGGGTCCGGCGAGCGCCGGTTGGCGGGGGCAACGGCTGTGAGGGGCCGAGGAACCGCCGTGGAGGGGCCGGGAGGCTGGTTCCCTGGGGCCCACTCCCGGCTGTGGGGGGACCGAGGGCTGAGGGGACGAGGCCCTGTGCTCCGTGAGGGGACAGGGGCGGCCGTGGGGATGGCAGTGAGGGGACAGGAGTCAGAGGGGACACGGCAGTGAGGGGACAAGGGCAGGGGGTGGCACAGGGGACACAGGCCAGGCCCGGTGCAGCTGTGTGAGGGGGCAGATGTGGGGCTGAGGGCTCAGGGGGGCTGTGGGGCCGTGGAGGACACCCCGGCCTGCCCTGCCCAGGAGCCTTGTGTGAGGCACGGCGGTGGCTCCAGGCCCTGGTGGCGTTGGACGTGGGCCCACTGGGCTCCGTGTCCTCAGGCCAAGATGTCACCTAGGCACCGCGGACGGCCTGGCATCCCCCGCTTCCCGCACAAAGAACGCCGCGCGCAGCCCCTGCGCTGCCAGCACCCACGGACGGGGCGAATGCCAGCGCTGCCCCGGAGCCTTGTGTGCCGGCCAAGCGGCGACCAGGCCAACAGCCAGGCAGGCTGCGGAGGGGGAGCGGGAGAGCGAGCCCAAGCCAGGCCCTGCCGTGCCCAGGGCTGTGCCCATGGGTGAGGCTGGGGACAGGCAGCCCCTTCCCACCCCACGGAGAGAGGGGAAGGATGTGCCGGGCCCAGGACCAGGAGAAGAGCCAGCACTGGCAGGAGGATGATGCTTCCCCAGTGCTGGGCCTGTTGCCGTGCCCGGCTGGCCCTGTCTGCCCGACGGAGGTGGCTGGCAGCCCGTGGGAGCTCGTGTAGGATGCCCTGGCAAAGGCGCTAAGAAGGGGAATTAGTCTGGCACTTGCCTCTAGGTCTGAATCTGAGCCAGTGGGACGGGTGTGACTTTTTGGGCTGCCTCCCCACGCACTGTTCACTGCGGGCGCGTAGCCCCTGCGTGCCCTATAGCCACAAGCAGCCCAGGCCAGCCGGCTGGTTTTGCCAGAGGGTTCGTACCTGAATATTGAACACAGACCTGTTTTAGCCTAGAGCCTCCCCCACAGTGGAGGCTGGTGCCAGGCGTGGGGAAGGGGGAAGGACCTCGGGGTCTGGCAGGGCAGTGGGCCAAGGGTGCTTTGCTGGACCTTGGCCCCACTGTGAGGCTCCAACCAGCCCGGATGGAGGGTGCTTGCTCCCCTGCCGGAGCCCCTGAGCTAGCCCTGCACACAACCACTGGCCGCCCACGGAGCTGCTGCCCTACGGCAGTGACCACAGCGCCGGCCAGTCCCTCCCTGCCTGCTCTTCCTGCAGCCCTGGGACGGGTGGGCAGCACAGCACTTCCAGGCATGGCTCTGTGTACCTGCCTGCCCACTCCTCCTGCCCCGGGCTCCCTGGCAGCCACTCACCCAGCTCCCCGGCACACCACGAGCTCCGGTCTCTGAGGTCCAAAATCTTCCTGCTGGGGTCAAAGGCAGGTCCCTTTCCTGCATCCCGCAGGAGGAGACGGAGGCTGTTCCCAGTGTCCTGCTGCGTGTCCCACGCCCTGGCCGTGCCGGGGCTTCTGTAACAGGAGCCAGGCCTGGTCCCCTGCCAGCGGCCCTTTGCTCTCTTTAGTTTTACCTCCTGGGACCTTCGACCCGCAGCGTGGGGCCGGGTGGGTGGGCTCAGGACGTGCTCTGGCCAACATGGCTCCTCCATCCCAGCCAGCCCTGCTGTCCTGTTGCCGCTTCTTCAGTGATGGTGGGAAGAACTGGGCCACTGCTGGTGGGGAGGGCAGCACCCCGGCACCCGGGATGTGCCGGCTGGGGCACAAAGCAGTTTGGAGCCGACGAGCAGGGCTGCGGGGTTGTCTTCCTGCCTCTGCCATTCCTGTGGTTGGGGAGGAGGGGAAGTTCCTTCTGGAGGCCTGTCGCCTCGCCTGGCGAGGATGTAGGGCAGCAGGAGGTCACCAATTCACTGGCCCTGTCCTGGTCTCTCTAAGCAAACCCAAACCGGTTGCTCACTGCCTCACGTGCTTCTGGATCCTCCCCGCCCCGTCGTGGCCCAGGGCCTTTCTTGGAGGAGCAGGCGCTATCGCTTCATCTTAGGGCAACGCTGCTGAGGCCACCCAGCAGGGCAGGCACCTGGGAGGGCCTGTGGGCAGGTGACTTGGCACTGCCCCTTCTGCCAGCCACCACCGCTCCCATGCTGGGCTGGGCCGCTTTCCAAGGTGTGGGGAGCCTGGAGCTATTGCCGTTTGTGTGGAAGCTGCAGCACAAGTGCCATCCAGCGACCCTGTCCGGGACTTGGAGCGGCCATCCCTGCTCTCCTGTTCTCTGCCCAGCCCTGGCATGGGGCTGGTGCACTGACACTGCTGGACTCTGCCCCAGGTCCACCTGCAGACGCAGCAGGAGGTGAAGATGAAGATGACGGGGATGGCGATGCATGTGATCCGCACTGACGGCTTCCTGGCTCTCTACAACGGGCTCAGCGCCTCGCTCTGCCGGCAGGTGAGTGCCACCGTGCCTTTGGTGGCCTGGGGTCCCCCCGAGGCCAGCGCAGAGCTCCTGCCACGCTGGTGGCTGGGCTGGAGCTGACAGGCTGCCCTGAGCTGTAGGGCACCCAGCGGGGCACAGTGGCTCATTCTCCTCCTCCAGATGACATATTCCTTGACTCGCTTTGCCATCTACGAGACCACAAGGGACCGTTTGAGCCAGGGCAACAAGGGGCCTCCCCCCTTCTACCAGAAGGTGATGATGGGTGCACTGGGAGGTGAGTGAGGAGGAAGGTCCTTCAGGCCTGGGCTCCCTCGGGCTGGAGGAGCCCCCTGACCCCAGCTCTTTGGCCACAGGTTTCACCGGCGGGTTGGTGGGGACCCCGGCAGACCTGGTGAACGTCAGGTCAGTTCTGCCCACGTCCCGGTGCTGCTGTTGTGCAGCAGCAGTTGGGGTGGGGGTGCCCTCCCCGTGTTCCTCACTTCCCTCCTGACCAGGTTGCCCTGTGGCTAGTGGCCTGGTCCCACTGGTGAGCTTTGTACCCAAACAGGACCAGAGTTGTTCTGCCATTCTGTGTGACAGCCCCAGCCCCCTGCGTGGCCCTCGAGGGCAGCTTTCTTGCCCCTTGGCAATCAGGTGGCACAGTCTGTCTGCTGAGCCTCTGCCCCCTGCTCTGAGCAGGGACAGATGTGCCCCAGGACCCCATTTCGGGGGAGGGAGGGAGGGGGGGGAGACAGACAGCAGGTCACCAGCCCCCACCTCACCCCGCGGTGCTCTGCCTTACAGGATGCAGAACGACGTGAAGCAGCCACCCTCTCAGCGGCGCAAGTGAGTGGGGACCGGGGCTCCTGGGGGGGGACTGGGGCAGCGGGAAGGGGGGTCGGGAGGGACTGGGACTCCCGGGA